CATTTAGTTTTATTTTGACTTCAAATTGTCTTAGAGTAATACTTAACACATTCCATGTGCCAATTATTAATGGGTATTTGCAGTCTTTCCTTCCCACTTGATACATGTCAAATACATGTCCCCAGAGCTTTCCATCATTGAAGTCAATATGCTGGACTCTAGTTTCACGAAGCTCCTCTTCCACTGGTACTTTTAGTGACCTAGCCTGAGAGTCCCATCTGTCAGCACTGTATCAGATGGTGGGTCATTGATATTCATGCTGAATTAACTGCCATCGAGTCAATTCTGACTCATAGAGAGAAACTCTCATGTTTCTCCAGAGGACCAGTGGGTAGTTCGACCTTGTGTCCTTGCAGTTAGTCCAGTGTTTCAGAAGATCTGGTGGAATAGTGTTTATGTGTTAGGCTGCTAACCACAAAATCAACAGTTCAAAATCCCTAATCATTCCACCTGAGAATGATGAAGCTTTATGCTCACATAAAGAGCTACAATCTTGGAACCCCCAGGGGGAGTTCTGACTTGTTTTCTAGGATCATCACAGGTCCAAATTGACTCAATGAAAGTGAGTGATACTCATAAGGTTTTCCCTGGTCAGTTTTTCCAACATAGACCACCAGGTTCTCTTTCCCTGTTTGCTTCACTTCAAAGCACTGTTGAAACTTGCCCACCATGGGTGACCAAATTGGTATTTGAAATAATGATAGGTGATTGGTGAAATACAAGATATCTGTAATAAAATGATAAATATATTTGTTTCTTAAGTAATATTAATAAATAATCACCATGCAGATTTTTTATACTCAGATTTAATTTACATATTGTGTTAACATGTCATGGTTTGTAATTTCTATTGGGAAATTTCATGCATCAGTGCTGTTTTAGTATCATGTAAATTATAATGATAATTAATTTGGTTGATTAGAAAATAAAGGATAATTTGCATTATGAAAATATAGATGAATGTATGGGTGAAATAAATGAAGGGTGGGGGAAATTAGAATATCAAAAGGATTTTATTTATATGCAGTTGTGTTTGGGGGACGTTATGTATCTATTAAATTTCCATTTCAAAAAAGAAATACTTAGCCTGTGTTAAAACAAAAACAACAAAAAAAGCAAAACACTGTGATGGAATGAGAGCAGACTGCTAGCATCACTGCAGGGCAGCATAGAACTGGTCCCGAGCATTTCTCAGGCTGCAGCTCTTGGCAGGAGCTGACATCCTTGTTTTTCTTCAAGGATTGGTTAGTAGATTAGAACCACAAACCTTCCATTTAACAGCCAATGCTTATCATACTGTACCGTCATGGCATTATAATATGGCCCTTTATTATCATGTCCATTTTTTCATTAAAATAAACTGCAATTATTACCAAATGAAGATGTGAAATTATAAAAAGTGATATTTAAATTATGACTTTTGTAAATATAAACCCAACCCCTTTCCATCTTATCCATTCTAATTTATTGTAACTTAAGATAGTTTCTGAGATTGATAGTTCCTATATCTTTGTAGGAACAGACAGCCTAATCTTCTATCTTCAGAGCAGAATTTGAACACTGACATTGCAGTTACCAACCCAAGACATAACCCAGAGCATCACCAGAGATTTTGATTATACACATATGACTGCTGCTGTTGTTTTAATAGCGAAGCAGTCATTTCTGACCCATAGTCATCCGCTGTACCACAGACCAAAAAAAGTCATGGTTCTGTGCTATCTTCAAAATTTGTTTTGATCATGATCATTGTTTTTTTAAATAGTTTTATTAGGGGTTCACACAACACTTATAACAATCCATACATACATCAATTGTGTAAAGCATATTTGTATAATCATTGCCCTCATTATTCTCAAAACATTTCCTCTCCACTTAAGCCCCCGGCACCAGGTCCTCATTTTTCTCCTCACTCCCTGCTCCCCCTCCCTCATGAGCCCTTGATAATTTACAAATTGTTATTTTGTCATATCTTGCCCTGTCCAACGTCTCCCTTCACCCACTTTTCTGTTGTCCATCCCCCAGGGAGGAGGTCTCATATAGTTCCCTGTAATCGGTTCCCTCTTTCCAAACCACTCTCCCTCTACCCTACCAGTATCGCCACTCACACCACTGGTCCTGAAGGGATCATCCACCCTGGATTCCCTGGATTTCCAGTTCCTATCTGTACCAGTGTACATCCTCTGGTCTAGCCAGACTTGCAAG